ACAAGCCCATCATCCCCGAACATCGGGTGAATGCGTTATGTCCCCTTGCACCCACGTGACGCATTTTGATCTACGTAAAACGCTCGTCGGATGCAGGGCAGGTTGTTGCGTGCCCAGAATCGACGTAGAGCGCACACACATCCTGCGCGGTAGGTTACATCTTCGGCCCTGAAGATGGATATAGTGTGTTTCTCCGAAACGCCTACACACCTACAAGTCTATACGGTTCCAAAACCCAGTCTTGATTTTATTTCTTTAAGCTGTGTCTTAGGGTACAGCTTAGCGTGTCTCGTATACGCGAAGATTCTGCGTCTTCTCTGGGACGGCAGGAGGCAACTCCTTAACGTGTATGGAGTAGGTGGGACATTTGCATTTGTGGCGATGTGTGAATGAGCTTCTGATTTACAGTCACCGTGAATCACCACTCAACTTCATTTGTACCTTGAAAAATGTCTGCTGACTGTATGTGCACAGTTACGCGAAGGACTGTGGGAGTCGGAGATCTTAGTACCGACTCCACAGCCCTGGTTACACGTGTCCTGCCCTGAACGCAAGTGATGTCATGCGAACGCCCTTTGTTTTGTGTTAAAATAAATTTGTTACACTGGGAGACAGTTGATAGTGTTTGTTGTGCTAACAAAGAGAATGTGTCTCTCAATTGACAATTTTGTTTGCAGGGATTCAGGGTAATAGGAGGGAAAATACGGTAATTTAATTTATCCAGTATTGCCACCCGCATTATTTGGTTTTATTTATCAGCGGTTTTGCAGTTTGTTTACACGAGTAATAAAGCTCGGTTTGATTTCTCACTGATCGATTTCATCTTCTCTTTTTAATTTTTTATGCGTGAGGCTGTAATATTACGCGAAAACACTTGTCTGGCTTCTAGACTCTCGTCGCAGTACGTATTTTTGTGACACGTCGTGTATTTTACGTCTAATTTGTCATTTAAAAGTTTCATTCAGACGATTTATGAAGTAATTATCTTGAAACGTGGGCACACAGTGAAAAATACTACACAACAGTTCAGAATTTCATCTGTATTTTTACGTCGTCGTGAAATAGCGTTTGTCCGGATATATTAATCGCATGTATTTGTTTTCATTTTTAAGCGATGGGAATCCAGAAAGATATTTAAGGAAGTCCGGAGGGAAATTTGAGAAGAATTTTCTCTCTTTTGCTTGAAATTTCGTTTTGAGATCTGGTCCAAGACTCGGTTTGCCCGCGTTCTGTAAACAGAACCGCGGATGACATAAAAACCTAATCAGCTATGTACTTTGTGTGTGTGTATGCGATGTTCATTACATACGAATTGGAAAGGTGAGTTAGTTTGTGTCATGGGTGGGTGACAAAGAGAGGGGAGCTTTTGGAGGGGGGTAATTCCAATGGCCGCAGGTCGCGAATGAATAGGCAGGCAGGCGGGCGGGCGGGCTACCTGGCTATCTGGCGCTCGCACTGTTTGTCTCTTATGGCTCTCTAGTGTTGTACGACCGAAACCATGTTGAAATGTATATATAGAACATATCCAGAACTGCAGTAAATCAATAACAGGCAAAATCTGTCCGCCCTCTGCTCGCTCCCTGTATCATCATCATCATCATCATCATCATCTTCTTCCCTTCCATCCAGTTTATATCAAAACGCAACCCCCCACCCCCGGGTTTTGTTCGTGCTGTAACACTCAGTCCTTCATAAACGAGGGCTTCACAATTTGTTACAGTCAAGGGTAGAAAACCTGTACGAAGGTGGGTGGAGATAATATTAGAATGATATTAAATGGGGTGTGAAACTGAAGATTGGATGCATCTGGCTCTCGATAGAGTCTTCGTGGAGGGTTCTTGTAAGAACGATATCGAATCTTCGAGTTCCGTCAGAAGTGGGGAAATTATTGGACACAGGGGTGGGGGGTGGGGGTTGCAGGTTTGAATCCAATTTTCAGCCGGAACTGTGATCGATAATGTCATCGTATTAGATGATCTATCGACGGCAGGCTTCCCTTTGTGATGTAATCGATTCTCGTCTCTTCTAACAAAGTCATGCGAGGTACGTGGACGCCTAGCGTCGTTTGCTTATCGCAGAGGTCAACATTAAAATTCCCGCTGATTATGTTATCTTACATACCAGCGCCGTAGCCAAGGCAACCAAAGGACCTTACAGATGCATAAGCCACCGACTGACTGACAGTCTCAACACCAAAGGGGGGGAGTAAGTGTGCCTGTTATTTCACGTGTACTGTGATGTTTCGTAATTACGAAAGACCGTGAAATTTTGCCAATTTATTTTAATAATCTTATCCGTTCCCTTTGTGTTGGTTTGTTCTCTGACTGCGGATTTCAGGGAAGCGTGTAGATGAGTATGGGCGCAATTTCTGATTTGGTAACTTTCTTTCTTTCTTTCTTCTTTCTTTCTTTCTTTCTTCTTTCTTTCTTTCTTTCTTCTTTCTTTCTTTCTTTCTTCTTTCTTTCTTTCTTTCTTCTTTCTTTCTTTCTTTCTTCTTTCTTTCTTTCTTTCTTCTTTCTTTCTTTCTTTCTTTCTTTCTTTCTTTCTTTCTTTCTTTCTTTCTTTCTTTCTTTCTTTCTTTCTTTCTTTCTTTCTTTCTTTCTTTCTTTCTTTCTTTCTTTCTTTCTTTCTTTCTTTCTTTCTTTCTTTCTTTCTTGATTCTTCTTTCTTTCTTCTTTCTTTCTTTCTTTCTTTCTTGATTCTTCTTTCTTTCTTCTTTCTTTCTTTCTTTCTTTCTTGATTCTTCTTTCTTTCTTCTTTCTTTCTTTCTTTCTTTCTTGATTCTTCTTTCTTTCTTCTTTCTTTCTTTCTTTCTTTCTTGATTCTTCTTTCTTTCTTCTTTCTTTCTTTCTTTCTT